CTCATCACTACAAGAAAATGAGTTTTCTTTTTACTAAAAATGATAATTGATTTTTGGTTGATCACTAATAATTTTTATATTTGTAACTAATATAAAATAATAATCACTAATATTCTTTATATTTGTGATTAATTTGAAATAATAGTTATTAATATTAATTTTTAAAATTATAATATACAATTTAAAAATTAAATTTGGTTACAAAAGATTTGTCACAATAAACTATTTAAATTTATGACTCTCAAAATTATTACAATAAAATAACTATTGGTTGCTAATAAATATAGGTCACAAATGATTAATTTTTCTCGTATATGCTAAATTTTACTTGTGACTAAATTTATTATTCATAACAATTATATTTTGTGATAAAATAAATAATTTGTCACAAAAAAATAAAAAATAATGAAAATTTCCAAAATAAATAAATTGTGACTGCAATAATAGTCACAAATTAACAAAAAAAGAATTTTATTAAAATATAAAATTTTAACTAAATTAATTCAAAAAAATTCGTCCTACCTACATCTACATTCTCAAAAAATTTTCCATTTTTCCAATATTACAAAAACCATGGTAAATCAAAGCTCCTAACTTGGTCAAATATCCTAATTACTATTATTCATGAGATATTTAATCATTCCTTATACCGAATCTAAGGATTTTACACATTTTTAGGGACTTTTTGGTTTAACAATAGTTTTTTAAAATTTAGCAATCAAACTATCTTCAAATCAATTTACATACATTTTAAGATTAATCTCTCTTTAATCTAATAAAATATAAGTTATTTATGTCGAGATTAAGCAAATTTATATATGAGGAATTATCTCCTCATTAGCCCCTAAAAAAATCAAATCTTAGTAAAAAAAAAAAAAAATTAGATTATAAGGAATACTTATATCCTTATAAACAAAATTACATTAGTATTGAATTGCTGTACTATTACTGACTCTACATAAAGCAGCTACATTCAAAACATCTTTTTTGTGCACCGTGCTGTTGCAAGTTGCAACAAAGGTGTGGAATTTGTGCTTTTAATGGTGGGGTTTGGATTCGACTTTGGCTGGCAACGTTATGAACTCTTTCCAACAGTAGATTCAATTAATAAAGAAAATTGATATTTAATATATGTTAAGATAATGTTTATGATGATTTATGGGTTGGAGTAATTTTTATATTCTAATAAATAAAGAAAACCTTTTGTTGTTTATCAGAAAAACTTGAATACAAGCAATAATATATTATTATTTATTTTTACTTGATTATAACTGAAAATCAATATTTATATTTAATTTGATTAGTTTTTATTTTCATTTAATAGATTTTTTATTTTTCTATTGATACCTAAGTGAAATTGTAGAATGAAAAAACTCCACATCACTCAAGAAAAAAACTAGAATTTACTAGCACTCTATACAAAAAAAAAAAAAAAGAGAGCATAATTTCACATTATTTAGAAACAAAAAAGTATTATTTATTACTACTTTATATATAAAAAAAAAACTTAAAATATATTAAATGCACTTTAAACTCCGAAGAGTTGAGCTTGGGCCTAATAGTTTTACTATTGGCCTTTAAACATTTTAGTTAATTAATTTATAGTTATTATTATACATTTTTTAAATTAAAAATAAAATAAATACTCATTTTTATATGAAATTTTAATGAGGTTAGTGCCTATTTGCCTTACAATTATTTCAAAACTATATTGCTTCAATTAACTCTCATTGGAAAAGATTAAAATACCTTATTTTTAAAACATAAATTAGAGTATTGGCCTTTAAACATTTTAGTTAATTAATTTATA